GGCTACCACCTTCTGCCGCTTTTATTGTAATAAAAACTAACCATCTGTGAGATGCAACAGAGAAATTCTGGCAATCGGCGTCCATCTGGAACCATGACTGATTTCTCATATAGAATGGTCGTCGACACTAGTATGTCCTTTTTTCTTTAGTATTTACATGTTATACAATGCAATTATCGTTTATAATTTCAAGTCTTTATTTATTTGGATCTTAACTTTGGGATATACAAAGGTAGCCAAGGGGAAATCTTCACTCTCCAAAGTTCTTGTGATTCAGGTACTTATATGCACGTCCATTCAAAAGATGGGCGATAAGGGCGAGTCTATGGTCTAAGGGGCCAATTTTTTTTTTTTTTTTTTTTTATAGAAATTGTTATATTTAGAAGATATTATAAATAATTTTTTTCAATTATTGAGTTATTATAAAAAACATGACGGCATTTGTGTATTTTAAGGGCTCATATTTTTTCTCTCGCCTTGGACCCAAAATATATTTGGAACGGCCCTGCTTATATGTACTATTTTGCTGCTTCTTGTTTCGTATAATTTATTAAAATCTGTGACAACCCGATATTTCGAGACAATGTAATGTAAAACCAATCGAATTTCGGTCAAAATATAACTTTCCTAAAATCTTATTTGGGTTAAATAAAGTATTATGAATCATATCAAGGTTTTCGTACATATAAAGAAACCTAAAATCCGAGTTATAACGAAGAAGTTATGACCAACCGAAGATTCTCGGCAAAACCGGCAACACCGATTAAACGAAAAACGCGAAGTTTCAATACAATAGTTTTTAGCATTAAGTATCCAAATGAAAGTTATAGATAACCTCAAACCGTGAGCATACATAAAAAGAACGTCCAAATCTGACTTCGTATGAGGAAGTTATGATTTTTCCAAGATTCGGGTATAGCAGTAGACAGCTAAAAACTCGAAATAGAGATGAAGATACTTTTGACCAAAACAACCTAAATGAGAATCTAAGGTCTCAACATTAGTAGCGCAACGATGAAAAGTCTGACGAAAACGGACATCGGATGAAGAAGTTATGGATTTTTAACAGAATTATGGCGTCCCGGCCCGTTAAAAATAAATAATTAAAAAATAAAGTCAAAATTAGCCAATGAAGTCTAAACTAGAGTTGTAGATCATGTTTTTAGCTACGCGTGCATATAAAGAACGTCGAAAACGAAGCTCATATGCGAAAGTTACGGATTTTACAAGTTCGGGGTCCAAAATCCGAGGCTGTCAGGCCCCCACGACGTGGCGCAGCTTGGCCGCGATCCGGCAAGTGACTGAGAGCGTCCCATCAACGGAAGAGGATAAGGCTTGCTCCCCACGATGTGGCCAACCTTAGCCACGACGTGGCACACCAGAAACAACCCTATAAATAGAACTCTTGGGGTGCCGGGTTCAGGTGCTCCAATCTTCTCTTTCTCGCGCCGAAACTCTGCGTTTAAGCCCCTGAGACCCTCCCAAAGCCCCGGTTTTTCACCTTCAAGTCCTGAAGGAAGGTTTTGTGTTCCCGAGATTCCCAAGATTCCCGAGAATCCCGAGATTTCCCGCGTTTTCAACTCTTCCTGTCGAAGTTCTGCTCGATTCTTCTCTAGATTATTTCAAATCGACCACTTCAATCATGTGAGTTCATACCCCTTAACTAATGTTTTAAACTACATTTAAATGTTTTATGGGGGGGGGGGGATACAAGTAGAATCATGCTAGGATTATATCAATCACATGCGATTAATAAGTAGAATTACGCTAGTTATTACATCAATCACATGTGATTAATATACAACATTCAAAAGATTTGGCTACTCATTAGCCATTTTACCAAACAGTTTCCTTCAAATGACTTTTTATAAACATTTTATATGTTTTAAACTCCTTTTTACACTGTACAGCTTACTCCGTACATTACCTTTCAAGCTTATTTACAACTGTGTTTCAATCAAATGTTTCCTTATACTCAAAACTGTTTTATCATACTTATGCCTTCAAATTGTTTTATAGATCGACATCAAGTCGATCTTTTCTTAAAATAATATTTATGTTTCAAATGTCTTACAAAATTTATTTACGCTTTTATATTATAAATTGCATGCCTCTATATGTATAGTTATATAAGAAATGTTTAAAAGACTTAGGAAGGCTATCCACCCTATTTCCTTTTCGCGCCTTGAGATGTGGTCTGGTGGGATATTGGGTATTCATCCGAAAGTCGTTTAAATATTAGTTATATATCTTGTGTACATATATAGTCATAAAAGGTCCTTCCAGTTCAACATATGCCCTTGGGTAGCAAGGGTATACATCCATGTTCATACTTACCAGATAGATTACTAGTAAACTACCATATGGGTAGTTTAGGAAGATACTAGAACAATTACTAGAACGCGATATCATACAATGAGTCAGTTCATTCATGAGTCAATACTTTCTAGAACGATTACATTACTATACTTGCTAGGTAGAGAGCACGTACATTTCAGCTAGAACAGTTCGTTACATTACACTTACATTAATACGTTAATAAAATTGTGATCCACTGTATGGGAGCATGCCTTAATTGTCATGACCCGGGTTGTAGCCAGAGTCTCTTGGAGGGAGAGCATGAGTTTGCATATAGATCTATACTGGATTGACTATCCTACACCTCGCTGCTAGCTACAGCGGGACCGACAGGTCTGCGGGTGCCAAACGTCATACCTTATTTTTCGACTATATGTTGTCGTTGTTACCAGTCGATAGTATGGTGCAATTTATCACATAATGTCTTAATATAAATCCGGTTTAAGGTAATTAGTACAGCAGTAGTTCTTATAGCGCTACGTTTTAGTACTACATTAATTTTCCCTGTTCAGATATTTAGTGATCTTTTCACTTAAACTATAAATGTAAAAACTATATTTTGATAATGATAGTTACACTTGGGAAAATTACACACTTTTATAAGAAACGAGCATACAAAACAGTTAAGCCTTGGTAGAAGGCTACATTAACAGAAAATATAGGTTTTTCTGAGAGATTCAAACTTTTACAAACACTTACATACATTTACAACTCATTCTTGCGACAGGTTCAAACGTTTACAGTTGTTTTACAAACATTTTCATACTTACAGTTCACTTACAAATTCTTACATACAAATTAAGACACTAAATACTTATGATCTCACCAGCTTCAAAGCTGATACTCGCTTTCAAAATTACTTGTATCCTCAGATCATCATAGACAGGAACCGATGCAAGGAGAAAGGAAGATGGAGCTTGTTCAAGACTTATCTTTCATTTTGATTTATGCTTTAGTGTTTATCAAAATTTGACAGAATACAATTGTATAATAATTATTTTATTAATGCAATGGATGATGTTGTTGCTTGTTTACTACCTCACATTGTTGTTGATATTATACATGATGTCCTCCGCCCCAGAACGTTTCTGCCGTTCCTGGTTTTGGGGTGTGACAGATTGGTATCAGAGCATTGTTTATAGTGAATTAGTATATCAACCCATAAAAGATATACTAACTATAAATACATAAGGGATTAAAAATACTCTGACCAAGAGTTTATACTTTAAATAGTAAAATATTTAAGTAAGTATACGTGCTACATTCATACTAAAATCAGTGTCACTAGGACAGTACAAAAGAATTACGATTGTTGGACAACACAAGTGGGCTTAGAGACATATGGTAAAAATGGGAAGATATAGCTTGATCACCTATATTATCCGAGGGTTGACTAGCATGTGCCTAAGCTTAAGTGTGTGGTTGCAACAATGCTAAAATCTTACCAACCCTACCACAATGAGAACAATAGAACATAACATTAAATTTTAAAATACTATAGGAGTATTTGGTGTTACTAGAAGTACTTTATACTTGAGAACTAAAACGGGATCTTCATTATTAAGTTGATAGTTGCTAAGTGGAGACACTGAGGCTATATGTAATTAGGATGTTATAGACTTAGAATCTGTGATAATTTTGCCTTGTCCCTATTCTGTGTGAATTTGGAATTAAAGTCACTTATTCGAAGGTCTATCCTGTTTAGATTACACATAGCTGGTATGCACTTCACAAATAGCGATGTAACTAATGAAGGTTTTCTAAATAATTATCTAGATAGTTTGTCAAATAATTATCCTCTTACCCTAAATTCTCGCTTAGAAATCATAGCTGGACTCCATCCCCTCAGCAACCAGTATCTTCCGAACCAGTGAATGATCATCCTATCCCCTTGGATGATCACCATGATGAAGACTTTTCGTATGATGCTAACTCCAAACCAGAAGTTGAGAACCTACCTCGAGCAACTCCCTTTCCAATTCCTAACCCTCGTTCGGCTTTTTCATGGCCCGACCCTGAGTGAGTGGAATGCTTGGAAATATGGAGCCAAGGACAAGATCAATCTATGCTATTTGATGGCGACCGAAGCTTTTCCGACTTGAGCAATGGGGGCTCAGCAGATAGAGTCATGCCAATCTTGGTCCGCAGAATGGCCCGAAAGGAGATTCAAGGCAAGACAGCCCTAAATCAGATTACAGAAGTAGTCGCCTATCCTAGAATGCATACCCTCCACACCATTCATCTAGAAGATGCTCACGAGAGAT